AATAATCTAGGTATTATTATATTTACTATAATATTATCAATCTGGATTATTCAGCAGCTAGATTGTGTTCTCCATCCAGGCCTTATAAGCAGCTTTCTCATTCTTATAAGCGAGTGGGGTTGATTTACTAAAACTGGATAGTGAAAAATCTGGTGCAGCTGTGCATGGGAGCCAATCAGCTTCTAACGTTAGCTTGGTCAATTGAGCTTTGACAATGAAATCTGGAAGCTGATTGGTTTCTGTGCAGAGCTGCACCAGATTTTGCACTCCCCAGTTTTAGTAAATCAACCCCTGTGTCTTTTTAAAAAATCTCACTGGTCATAGCTAGCTTGTATTTGTAATTTGTGATTTTCTTTTAAATAAATATAATAAAATTTCTATCTATTTAACTGCTCTATTCCTGGCTACCCAAATGTCAAGTAAAATCAAGCTTTTGACATCTTTCAAAGTTATACTGGTACCTAATAGGACTGGTGGTGATCATTGAGGCCTTTGATAGGCAAATGAAGTATGAGTAAAATGAGGCAATCCATTGTAGTGTCTGAAATCTTAAAAAGGTTAGGTATATCTAAACCCAAGAATACGCTTGTATTGTGGTTGCATTCCTTTCCTGTTTTCAGTCTTGATTTACTTGACTTTCACCTGGTGATTCTGCCAGTAACATACACTTCCCGTCTTAGGATGACAGTGCTCACTAATTTTGCTATGGAGGGAACTGTGTTGCCTCTCCTTATTTTCATAATATTGGTGGTGTTCTATAGTTCCCAGAAGTAACCTGGACAGGGCTGATATTAGTGCCTAAGATTACACTGAAGAATGCACAGGATTGCACTGGATCTCTGTCAGGACTGCTCTTATTGCACTTAACAGATATAACAAAACACTATATTTAACAGGTCAATGGGGCAAATAGTTAATTGTTAGAGTTTAGCATGCCAGTACAACATGGAACATTTTAAATACTGATGCACAATTTGTAAAATTCATAATTTTATTTATCCTCCATATTTTTTTTAATTAAGGGTGGCACAACAATATTAGACTCCTAACCAAAAAGTCTATTGTATCTCTGTGTGTTTTAAATACTGTATGTCTGGCTTTCGTGTGGTTGTATGATAAATCTATGTATACCTTGTTAATCTCCTGAGAAAGTGGCCAATATCGAGCACAAAATGCACCGGCAATTTGCTTTTCTCTCTCTCTTCGTATGTAGAAGATCTTTTGGGCATCCTTGTAGATATGTAAAGTGTATGATACTATGCAGGAAGGATAGAGAAATACAGTGAATGAAATATTGTATTAATGCTGTGCCAACATTAATAATTAAAATCTTTATGGAGTATAAATAAAATTATGAATTTTACAAGTCAGTATTGTACAGGGTGCGGCAACATAACTTCCTTTTTTCAAAATGCAATAAAACCCATTTTATGAATCAGAATTGTTTTTATTGTCTTTAATAATGTAAGTACATATCTAAAGTTCTGTTTTACACCGTTTTGAAAATCATATCAGGTAGGTGACGCCCCCCATTGTCCATACACTGAATAAGCCGATTTCTGGCTTTTTTCATGACCCTTACCAGCATAAGCAGTGGGTATGTTGGCAATTTCTGCGCGGATGTTTTGTAGGGTCCTTGCGCGCAGAACGCTGCGGGGATCACGAGATTGAAGCTCTCACTGCTTCGATCTTCTCAGGTGATCTGATGGGTCGAGGGACTCCAGCTCTTCGTCTTGTCGTACTCGCGGTTTGTCTGAACGTAGTGACCCACGTAACAATTGATTTCCAGTCCAGGACACGGCCCAACGGGGCTACATTGAAGCGATGTCGGAAGGCGCATTGGTTTGCGATCACAGAAAATCAGTTTGAAAAGTAGGCCTCTACGGCAAACGCACGCTGTTCACTGTTCCACGCATGATGACTGACCTGGAAGAGAACGAAAACTTTAGAACTACCTGTCTGTCTGAGACCACTCCCGCCCCGCTATGGCCGCTACAGCCTGAATGGCATGCATTTCAAAAAAGGAAGTTATGTTGCTGCACCCTGTATCTTGATACCTAAAACAAAATCTCATGTTGTTTTATTGGTGTGGTAATTTCTCTAGGAAGTGTTTGTACCTATCCTATAATGGTTCCAATACCCTCCTGCATTTCATTTTCGTTTTCTAATTGTGGTAGGGTTTATATATACAGTCATCCATTTGTGTTTTAAGGCAGCTAAATTGTTGTCTTCTGTTTGTAAATCTGCAGAGAGAATATTTGGTATGATACCTAGATACAGGTTAATGAGACATGTAAGCCGACAGGAAGGTGGACAGTCTTGGCTGCAGATGACGCACAGATCTTTTAATAATGTTCTATAGTGTTCAGAGTAGACAAAGCTCATAGCATCTACCCTTCCTGTCCCTTCAAATGAGATGAACATTTACAGCAGCTGTGATATTTCATAAGCGCAGCTGTTTATCTCATTTGTTTTAGAGAGCCTTCCTCCTCTAATAGATCTTTCATTTTAAGCACATCTTGTAAGTGATGTTTATTCAATAGCATTTAATAAATGTCCATGGTTTGTCTTCGGAGGATGGCATTTAATTCAGCATATAGAAACAGAACATAAAACCACTCAGACAATGCTTCAAAGTGTTCTCATTCCAGGGCCAGGCAGAACACAGCTGGCTGAGACACTGGTCCAGCTACAAACTGTGCACTTCTCTATGAATGCTTTGTCATTGCTAAGGATATTTTGCTGTCAGAATATTAGTCAAAGATGCTGAAAAGTGCCTAAAGAATTATCATAGCAGGTAGTCTGATCCCACGTGTCATTTTAGAAGCTAAATCTGGAAATTGGCTTGGCATTATACTGCCTGCTATGGGTAACGCACACTTTCTCTGTCAAACACATATACATGTGACGTATGTTGATAGGCAGAAAGATGACAGATTTGTTTATCCTTTTTCCCAGCACCCCCTTGTAAGCTGGCCATTTGACAAAACCTGTAAAACGTGACCATATTATAGACCATTACAGTTTTCAGGGCTACAAAAGTCACAGCTCTTCAGCCACAATGGGAGCAGCTGGAGTGTTAGCACAGTCATTGTGAATAATGCTCTTTGCAATTTTGCCCCATTTTTACCTTGTTAGCTGCCTCATACAGGTAGGTTAAGATATGTCACTGCTGTACTTGGAGATCCTACAATAACCATCTTTTAGAGAAGTGACATGATAATGGCTAAGGTAAAGGCTATGGGCTCCTCACTCTCTAGGGACACATGCTGAAGGAATTCACTGATGAGACAAAATTGTATAGTAGATGCATTTGGAACGCTGAAAAATAAGGGCTCCTCTGTAGAGAAGGGAGAAATACATATCAAGCACAAGAGAAGAGAGAGAAGTGAATGAAAGCACACTTTTATTAACAGTGAGTGGCTTTTAAGAGCGAGTGCCTTCAGCATAGCATTCTCCCCTGGGGACATTACAGTCTTACATGGATTTTTGGTGGATTATATACATATACTGTGCTGCATCTAAGGATAGGGCTACAAGTTAAAAATGCTAAGACAAAAAAAAGACATCCCCCAAGTTCACATTCTCACTAATTCCAGCCATTTTCATACAGGAGAAGGTAAAGCAAGTGTAGCCAATATTGCCTTGTGGTGTTGATTTCCAAAAAGAATGTCCCAAACACCCAGAGATACACACAATCACTCTGTGTCTGTCTCTCTCTCTCTCGGTTGGTTCCTAAGCCCCAAGAACCAGATTAATTTCTATATGTGTGCACCCCTCTCTGTTCAACAGAATCTGGTGGTTTAGACTGGTTTCGGTTGAATGATCCTGCTGGTTAACCAGAATGTGATCAGCACATGCAGCCAATGGCTGCAGCACTGATCGGTGTATTCTGACGGGAAAGTAGTCCACTATCAGATTACAGTAGCACAGCAGAGAGATTTCTGTATCCATATCACTTGTGTGGATCCGTGAAGCTGTCAATTTTTTTTTTTTTGTGCAGCCCACTGGTTGAATAGAAGCAAACTTTCTGTGTATACCCAGCTTTAGGTATTGCCGGGCCCAAATTCATTCACCTTGGGAGTGGCAGTGTGCTTTGTCCAGTCAAAATACTGACTTTCAGAAAGGTCTGTATTTGCAGATTGTTGGGAGCTCCACTGGTAAATCCAGTGGGAGGGCAGAAGTGCTAAATGTGACCTTCAACATCAGAAAGTTCGTGCTAGATAGTGAGAATGTTAGGATGTTGCATTTTTACATTCAGCAGGAAAATATATTTTCAGTTCACTTGAGAGATGTTGGTGCTACACTGTACTGCTCCAAATGTGGTAATAGGAAGCTTACATGACCTAGGGTGGCTATAAATGACACAATCTCCCCCCCATACAATACTGGTGAGGATCAGTCCATTAAAGGATACACCAGTGGCTCTTAAGGAGCACTTCCAAACAGTTGTGATTAACCCTCACTGAATGGGCAAATTTCTTTCTGGACACCATTCTCAGGACAACATCTACTTGTCTATAACCATTCTTAACCTGAATAGTGGATGTGCATGACACATGAGACACAGGCATAAGTCAGATTAATGATGAGAATCATCCTCTTTAAATTTTCACAGTGGTGTAGTGTTTAGCAAAATTGTTGCGCTGAATGTTCAATAATTGCTGAGGTTTATATATGCTTTTTTTTTTTTCATTCGGTAGTGGCAATAAAGGTTTGAGCTGAGCACACTATACAAGACACTGATGTGAAAAATGTGCTACCTTCTCAGTATAAAATGAAATGAGAAGCTCGCTTATTGCTTTGACCTTGCAGCTGACCTTGTGATTGTCTTTTGATGACAGGAGGAAATGGCTGAGCTCAAGGCACAGCTGTACCTACTAGAAAAGGAGAAAAAAGCTTTGGAACTAAAGTTGAGCACACGAGATGCCCAGGAACAGGCCTACCTGGTTCATATTGAGCACCTCAAGTCTGAAGTGGAAGAACAGAAAGAGCAGAGGATGCGGTCACTGAGTTCAGCCAGCAGCAGCAGCAAAGACAAGATGGGAAAGGTGAGACCACAGATTAGGTTTTCACAAAATAGCTTTACATTTTTATTAGGTCTGTTTAGAGCATAGAACCACCTAGGCATACTTCCTTGTTAGGAGCCCCCTTCACCTTGCAGGAACAAAGGTTCCACAATGCTATAAATAAATGAGGGGCCCATAGAACTATTGAAAGGAATCTTTGATGGAAGTACCAAGGAACAGGAGATTCTTAGACAAGGCTTTTTGGTAAGGTGTACAGTATTGAGAGGTTTTTTTTTTTGTTGCAATATTTAGGAAAAGAGTGGGCTTTGTGAGCTATTTACTGGGGTTGTAGGGGGATTGGAAAACTGACCTAGCAGATTTCCCTCTAACCTGACAAGACACAGAGGAGCTGATTTACTAAAACTGGAGAGTGCAAATCTGGTGCAGCTCTGCAGGGTAGCCAATCAGCTTCTAACTTCAGCTTCTTCAGTTAAGCTTTGACAAAAAAACCTGGAAGATGATTGGCTTCTATGCAGAGATGCACCAGAGTTTGCACTCTCCTGTTTCAGTAAATCAACTCCTCTGTGTCTTGTGATACTTCCTTTGTGGTTTTAAAGGGATCTGTTTCTTTTCTCAGAATATCTGTATCTGTGCTAGTAAGCCATTTATTTAATATATAAATCAAGTGCTTCGCTGCCACTAGCTGTGTGTTGTGTTAATAATACATGAATGATGTTACATATTTTATTATCACACAGGAATCCATAGAAGGTTCTGCATTATCCTTGTCTGATCTAAGAACGTACAATGACAGTGAACTTACATCAGAACTCACCAGTGCACTGAAAAGGTAAGTGTGCAGACTGCAGAGTCGGTAACAAAGCAATTGGAGTAGTGACCCAAAATGACAGATTCCAAATTTAAAGAGTAACTCTACTTTTGTTGAGAAAAAACATTCCCCTTTACTTGATCTATGTACATTGCATTGATTTTAACAAACGTTGTTGCAGATTCCTACCTTTTGTTGTTCTGAAGGAGTAGTTGTTTGTGTCCATGTGCAGAGTGAATCTGTATGGGAGTGGTTTCATAATTATCAGTTGCTGTACCTGCAGGGTCTGCACCCCTTTAAATGTGAATTCCCTGCAGGAGTATCACACCAAAATGACATTTTTGTTGCAGGGGATGCTCAAAATTTCACTTGTATCTTGGAGCAGACTTATGAGAAAATCCATAAGCCAATCACACAAGCGTGAAAATGCATTTCTGGGGGGTGTTCTGTACACATTCTATGTGCAGAACTCCTCCAGGTAGTCATTATTGCATTGCATTTTACAGAAAATAACAGCACTGCAAATTGGGAAAGTGGCATTACTCTTTAAGTACCTGGATCAGTGGGTTTTTCCTCAATACCATCAGTTTAACTTCAGTTTGAGACACTCCTGAGATTATTCAAAATTCATTGATGGGTACATTTGACCCCATTCTGACTTGCATTTGACCTGCTTCAAACAGCTTTATCATTCCCATAGAGTTGGCTATATAGGGTACATTATCCAACAAAGTGCTATTATGCTTTTTGCAAAAGTATTGGGCCAGCTTTCCAAATCATTGGATTCATGTGAATCAAGCACCTAGGCATGCAGACTGCTTCCACAAACATTTGTGAAATAATGGGTCGCTCTCAGGAGCTCAGTGAATTCAAGCGTGGTACCGTGATAGGTTGCCACCTGTGCTATAAGTCCATCCATGAAATTTCCTGGCTACTAAATATTCCACAGTCAACTGTTAATGGTATTACAATAAAGTGGAAGCAACTGGGAACAACAGCAACACAGCCACGAAGTGGTAGGCCACGTAAAATGACAGAGCGGGGTCAGTGCATGCTGAAGTGCGCAGAAGACGCCCACTGTCTGCAGAATAAATAACTACAAACCTCCAAACTGTGTAGAGAGCTTCATGGAATGTGTTTCCATGGCCGAGCAGCTGCATCCAAGCCTTACATCACCAAGTGCAATGCAAAGCATCGGATGTAAAGCATGCCACCACTGTACTCTAGAGTGAAGTGTGTTCTCTGGAGTGATGAATCACGCTTCTCTGACAATCCAATGGACGTATCTGAGTTTGGTGGTTGCCAGGAGAATGGTACTGGTCTGACTGCATTATTCCAAGTGTAAAGTTTGGTGGAGGGAGAATTATGGTGTGGGGTTGTTTTTCAGGGGTTGGGCTTGGCCCCTTAGTTTCAGTGAAGTGAACTCTTAAGACGGCAGCATACCAAGACATTTTGGACAATTTCATGCTCCCACCTTTGTGGGAACAGTTTGGGGATGGCCTCTTCTTGTTCCAACATGACTGTGCACCAGTGCACAAAGCAAGGTCCATAAAGACATGGATGAGTGAGTTTGGGGTGGAAGAACTTGACTGGCCTGCACAGAGTCCTGACCTCAACCCTATAGAACACCTTTGGGATGAATTGAGCGGAGACTGCAAGCCAGTCCTTCTCATCCGACATCAGTGCCTGACCTCACAAATGCACTTCTGGAAGAATGGTCAAACATTCCCATAGACACACTCCTAAACCTTGTGGACAGGCTTCCCAGAAGAGTTGAAGCTGTCGTAGCTACAAAGAGTGGGCTAACTCAATATTGAACCCTACGCACTAAGACTGGGATGCCATTAAAGTTCATGTGCATGTAAAGGCAGGCGCCCCAATACTTTTGGCAATGTAGTGTACTTATTTTATTATGTATGTTGCTGTGAATCACTAGGTAGGATGTACTTCAATGTGAAGAAAGCTGCTGTCTGTCCTTGCAGTGCATTTTCATAGGAACCAATCAGGGCAATGAATTGGGTCCAGGGGTCTGTATGATCTGCCATTTACAGGATCCCCACAAAATCAGGTCCTTGTAGAGGTCTTCATGTCTCTAACAGTCGGGTGATGTAAAAATTTGTAAAAAAAAAAAAAGATGGGAGCGGCCTGAGCCATGAAAAGATCTTTCCAAACTACAAACATCTGTGGTCATGAGGATGACACAATAAAATTAGTTTGTGGAGTGTGCATTGCTTATATATTCACTGACTCGTCTATATGTACAGGTGTGTATTAAGTTGGAGCAGTTAGTGTGGTCTGTTACACGTTCATGGAGAAGTGGTTTGCTGCTGAAAATAGAAGAGTAATTGGCTATCACAGGACAGATCCTGTAATCTCTTCCTTTGCTCTGTGTTATATTTTTTGAGGTCAGGCAGTCCATAGTGTGTCCAGTGGAGTCACAGCATGTGCCTTCTAATGTATCCTTGGAAGGAACAGAGCAGGTCAGACCAAGATCTTTACAGTACTCAACTAGGAAACAACTTTGTGACTTTTATAATGACTTGAAGTGATATTAAAGGCAATATTTTTTTTAAAATAACAAACACTTTGTTTTTTGTACAGAGCACCCCCAATCCTCCTTTTCTCAAGTTCCCCGCCGGTGCTCCTGGCCCCTCCCTTCTGCCTAGTGCCCCCAGAACAAGCAGCTTACTATGTGTGCACCCAAGCAGGCTCGCTCCCGAGCTGCTGCTCTGCATGTCCTTTTACACACAGAGCCATGGTTAATTTCCACCCCCTCTCTGTCCTCATTGGCTCACTGGCTGTGATTGACAGCAGCCATTGAGGAGAGGGAGTCCCCAGAGATCCGAGGCTCTTGTGCACATCACTGGATCGTGATGGGGCTCAGGTAAATATTGGGGGGGCTGCTGCACACAGAAGGTTTTTTTTTACCTTCATGCATACAATACATGAAGATAACAAACCTTGAGCCTTTACAACCAATTTAAAGATACATCTTTGTCATGCAGTTCCCATCCGTGGATAGCACCACATGGTTGATGTACAGCCATTTTCCATTTGAACTATATGATATCTTAATTTAAACAAAGTAACTGGCAGGGAAATATATACATACTGTGATTGCTTGTAGTTATAGGTAAAAAAAAATTGTTTCCAATTCTGAGTACTACGCATCAATACACCCCCCCCCCCCCAATCAGCCAGTGATTAGCTGCCAGGTTTGGTTCCTTCAGTGACATGATTGAACCGACGTCGAGAAAATCACAAAGAATTAAGTACTAGGCCATTGTGTGTATTAACAAAAAGGCACACCTATATTTACATTTTTACCATGCCATCAGTAAATAGATTTACACATTTTTAGGCAGATTTATTTTAAATTCCCAAGGAAATAATAAAATTGTTTTTGCATGCAGGCACAAGCTATCTGTTTTTTAATGGCTAGCTCAAAACTGATTTGTCTCTAGCGCAACAGTGGCATTTCAGTACCCCCACCCCCTTTAGACTTGCAGATGTTGGAAGCAGAATGCAGTATCCCTGATGTCTTGCTTATTCCCAGTCCTGATCTGGAGACATGCTTTCTAAACTGTGCTTTAGTAAACCGGATTACTAATTTTGCTCTCCCAGAATACTGTATAAAATCTCAGAAAACCCCAATTATTATATAAATCAGAACAGAGCATATAAATATATTGAAAGCATTCTGAGACATATACATATAAAGCAAAATACGTAAATAAAGTCCACACAATCCAGGAATTAAAAGTTCAAAAAAGATGATCAAACAACACAGTAAGGATTCAGAATATTCAAGGTCTCCACCTCTTGGACTGACCATCACCAAAACTGGACCACCTGAAATGTACTTAATTCTGAAAGTGGAGCTGAAGAGACCCCATCACGAACACTGGACACCTTAGATATGATGTTTTAATAGCATCGTGTACAATGTTTCCGAGCCATTGGTCTGTTCAGGGCCCATCTGACTTTTAAACACTATCAGTACAGTCAGGTCCATAAATATTATGGGACATCGACACAATTTTAACATTTTTGGCTCTATACACCACCACAATAGATTTTAAATAAAACGAACAACATGTGCTTTAACTGCAGACTGTCAGCTTTAATTTGAGGGTATCTACATCCAAATCAGGTGAACGGTGTAGGAATTACAACAGTTTGCATATGTGCCTCCCACTTATTAAGGGACCAAAAGTAATGGGACAGAATAATAATCATAATTCAAACTTTCACTTTTTAATACTTGGTTGTAAATCCTTGGCAGTCAATTACAGCCTGAAGTCTGGAACGCATAGACATCACCAGATGCTGGGTTTCATCCCTGGTGATGCTCTGCCAGGCCTCTACTGCAACTGTCTTCAGTTCCTGCTTGTTCTTGGGGCATTTTCCCTTCAGTTTTGTCTTCAGCAAGTGAAATACATGCTCAATCGGATTCAGATCAGGTGATTGACTTGGCCATTGCATAACATTCCACTTCTTTCCCTTAAAAAACTCTTTGGTTGCTTTTGCAGTATGCTTTGGGTCATTGTCCATCTGCACTGTGAAGCGGCGTCCAATGAGTTGTGAAGCATTTGGCTGAATATGAGCAGATAATATTGCCCGAAATACTTCAGAATTCATCCTGCTGCTTTTGTCAGCAGTCACATCATCAATAAATACAAGAGAACCAGTTCCATTGGCAGCCATACATGCCCAAGCCATGACACTACAACCACCATGCTTCACTGATGAGGTGGTATGCTTAGGATCATGAGCAGTTCCTTTCCTTCTCCATACTGTTCTCTTCCCATCACTCTGGTACAAGTTGATCTTGGTCTCATCTGTCCATAGGATGTTGTTCCAGAACTGTGAAGGCTTTTTTAGATGTCGTTTGGTAAACTCTAATCTGGCCTTCCTGTTTTTGAGGCTCACCAATGGTTTACATCTTGTGGTGAACCCTCTGTATTCACTCTGGTGAAGTCTTCTCTTGATTGGTGACTTTGACACACATACACCTACCT